AGCAGCCGGGGAGCAGCAGCAGCTCCTTCCTTGCAGTTGAGTCGCTCGCTGCTGGGGGGGGGCGTGGGAGACGGGGAGCATGCTTGGCCAGTCCAGGCTCCGAAGTGCGGTGGCGTTGCCCTTCAGGGGCGGCTGCTGCTGCTGCCATTCCCGGGTGCCAGCGCGCGCAGAGAGGCGAGGGGGAGGCGGCGGCGGAGCTGGGTTTGCCAGGGTGGCGTCCTTCCCATGCCAGGCGCCCTAGCTCACGCGGCCCCCTCTCGTCCCCGCGGAACGCTGCTGCCTCGGCGGGTCCGCGCCAGGGCTGCCTTCTCCAGCTGCTTGCCTCCCGCCTGGAGCCCGGCACCCGGGTGCGTCTCCTGGAGGAAGGAGAGCCCCACCGCAAACTTCTCGCCAGGCAGGACAACTTGTGGGAATGGCGGCGAGGAAGAAGCCTCCGCTCCCCCGCCTGCCTGCCTGCCCGTCTCGACTCTTCCCAAGACAACCTGCTGCTGCTGCTCCCTCCCTCTTTCCTTCCCTGGCCCCGCGCCTCTGACCTGCGCGTGCACTTCCCCAGCCGGCTGAGACGAAGGAGAGGGGGAGCCTCCCCATATTCCTCCACTGATTATTCAGCTGGCAGCCAGGAAGGAAGGCACGCGCCAGGGGCTGCAGAGTAGGGGAGTCCCGGAGGGCGCAACCACCAAGCGCCCGCCTCTGCTCCCTCACAAACTGCCATGGTGGTGGCGGCGGCAGTGGTGGGGGTGCAATTTGGCACCCCTGAGGGCCGGCGCGCCCTAGGTGAGCCCCTAGCTCGCCTAGCGGGCGAGCCGGCCCTGACTACAGAGCCCTTAGAGTTGAACTCAGTGGCATTGAATGTGGTGTGAAAGGTATGGCTCAAGACACTACCGGTTTTTTTTTAACACTGATCCTTGTATACAAATTGAATCCTCACTGCAAATTTGCATGAGGTTTATATTTAACAAAGTTGTGAATTTTCAGAGACTTGTAGCACTTTCTCAGAAAATGCAGTGCATTCCTAAAAAACTTCCCCTACAAAATTGGGACCTCTCCTCTTTTCTTACAAAGAGAAGAGGAGAGATTCTACTGGTCTCTGCATAGTGCTGAAGCCTGAACTACTTTAAAAAAGGTGATCCCCAGTGTAATACACAGCTTGCAACAGGAGCTAATGTGGTTGCTGTCAACAGAGGCAATCTATACTACAACACAGTTTGTGGAGTGTGATCATCCTCTTTTCTTGATCAGTAAACTATCCAATCATCTCTAAATAAACAAATGGACTTGGGTTCTGTCCAAAAATCATACAATGGTCAAAACAGTGATACTAAAATTACTACAAATAATTTGTTTGCCTGTGTAACTGTTAGCAATATGATGGCAGGGTAGACTTTGTGAAGAAGAAATTCCAGTGATACAGCAACGACATTGTCATTGAGACGTTTATACCTTTGGTTTCCACCTGCCTCAATTCAAATGGTAGGGATCTTGGAAATCTGTGTTCTTCATAGTGCTGCACTTTAGGCAAAATGTTTACCTCTGTTCAATTCCCACTGAAAAAGATCAGCAAAATGGGAAGATCCATTTAATGTCTGTGAGTATGAGCCATTTTGAGAAGAGACCTAATCTTCATTTCAGCTCAGCCTTACTTATTATTGTTTAACTTTATGTGCACTGGCAAT